AGGGGGTCATTAGGCATTGCAGCTGGTCCTGACGCAGTCATGGCGTCACTTCGGCTGGCTTTGCTGCTTTCCTGGTCCTGGAGATGAGACACAACTGAGGCCTAAATGTCATCTCTAGTTTGATCAAAACTGTCTCTGTGGTCAACAGATCTGAGGCTTTGTTCCTAAGATTATTTGATTTGGGTCAGAACCTCACTGCCCTGAGGGCCCAATGGTTAAGGGAGTGGTCGTGCAAGGGCTTGTATGGGAGTCTATGGGGCTATTCTCTGGCCCCCTGTTCCTCATGTAAGGGGGTCTATCACAGACTAGTGACATGTCAGGGGAGAAAAGGTCAGGGGAGGGTGTGAGCCACATAACAGGTGATATAAAAGGTCAGGGAGTCTAAAGGAAAATATTAGAGGAGGAAAGGTCACCCTGAGGGCGAAGTCCCACCCTACAATACCTATGTTCCCAGTTTTTCTCATTGCTAGCCACCCAGGGCTTTCCACCCTAGTGACCTTCTGTCCCTGGCCTATTGTATCTACTCTGCTCATGTCTGTTTAACTGCCAACTATATCAAACCTACAGACTTTGCAATTGAATTACCTGGAAGGCTTAAGAGACACAACAACCAATGATAATACACAAATATTGTTTGGACCCCAATTCAAACAAACTTAAAGTTTATGAGTTAATCGGGGTAATTCACATACTGTCTGGATAGTTGCTGATATGAAGGAGTTATTGCTAATTTGTAAGTAAGATGATGGTATTGTGATTATGTTTTATCAAAAATTCTTATCTTTTAGAGATACATGATGAAATATTTATGGACACAATGATATGCTTAGGACTGGCTTCAAAATAACCCAGGGCTGTGAGCATATGAGAATATAAATGAAATAAAATAAAGCACAAATTCTTTATCATATCCTCACAGCTACCCAGGGAGGCAGGGGCTATTCACCCAATCTGCAGCAGGGGATGTTAAGTCCTGATCATGTACTTTGTAAATTTGAAAATCTGTGAACACTTCGATGTCCAAGACCTAAGGTGTGAGTGTGAGATGTGGGCATGACGTCAGTGTGGAATGGTGACTTAGACCCTAGGTTAGCAAACTTTTCTTATAGAAGGCCAGATAAATATTTTTTCTTTGCTGGTCACAGAGGGTCTTTACTGCAGTTGCATACTCAACTTGTTACAGTAGAAGCAGCCATAGACAGTAAAGATTTGGGCAAGGCTGTGATTCAGTAACATTGTGTTTGCAAGAACAGGCAATGTGGACCAGATGGCTGACCCCAGGTTTAGCCAGAAGCATTGGGCTTAGAAATACCTGAGCCCAGGTGTTGCTTCTTCATCTACCAGCTGGGTGAGCTTTGATAGGTCTGCACCTTTGTAAAGTGGGCATCATAATTGTACCTACCACAAACAGGCCGTGAGGATTAGTGAGCTGGCAAGTGTAAAGCCCAACACTAGCTGAATGCATATGATTTACTTGTGACTATGGGCAGGCATGAAATTGGGTATTAGGCCCGCAGGTCAGCAAAAAGACCCAGGGCTGGGTTTCAGAGCAGAGAAGAGACAGAGGATAGGGCCCCTACAATATTGTGATTTATAAGAAATATATATATTTGGTCTTTCAGATGACCAAAATATATTTTTCAGATATATGTGGCCTTCATCCACAGTCCCTGGCTCACAGGTCCCCAAACCCTTGGAATTTCCTGAGCATCTTTTCTTAGGACATTTGGTCTCTCCTTCTCACTTCCTGAAATCCTTTCAGAGCCATAGAGGTGGGATGGGCTCATAACAAGCCCTTTCCACCACTAGGTTTATGTTAAGGAGGTGACTTGGAAAGCACCTAAGAATGAGGCTGGTTACCAGGGGAACTGACCATAAATACAATAGGGGGAATACAACTCCTTGACCTCCAGGGAGGGGAGAGGGGCTGAAGATTGAATCAATGACCAATGACCAATGATTTAATCAATTGTGCCTATGTAATGTAGCCTCCATAAACACCCAGAAAGACATGTTTGGAGAGCTTTCAGGTTGGGAGAACAGACCACTTCCAAGTGTTGTCATGTAGGACCCCAAACTCCATCGAGGCAGAAGCTCCTTTGTTTGGGACCTTGCCCTGTGTATTTCTTCATATGGCTGTTAATTCATATCCTTTAATATCCTTTGTAATAAACCAGTAATCTAGTGAGTAAACAAGTTTCCTGAGTTCTGTGAGCTGCCCAAGCAAATTCATCAAATCCAAAGAGGGGTTGTAGGAACTGTTAGGGTTTAGCCAGTGACACAGCTGTGAAAGAATTCACAACTAAAAGAAGAGATGCAAAGAGGAAGTTTATTTCACTTTCCAAGAGAAAAAAGGGCCAAATATTGCTAGTCAATACAGGGCAGGGAACAAAGGGTGGCCTGCTCTTTTAAGCAGTGGCTGTTGCTAAGCAACAAGGAAGGGAGGGGATTCTGTTGGGTTGAGCAGATACTAGGGGGGTTGTCTTGAAAAGTTACAGTTTGTTTGCTTTCCATCAGGCAAATGTCCTGGGGAGGTGTCTTACCAGTATTTTCCCCAAACCTATAAAACATACTTAGAGCAGAAGTTATGGAGAGTTCAAAAGAGGCTTGTTTGAAGGGGAAGTGGGGGATGGGGGGGACTTTCTTCTAACTGGAGACTCCTTGGTGTGAATTATCCCTGAGATGTAAAAACAGCAGGGAGGAGAGGGATGCTTATCTTTTCCCACAGTTTGAACAGAGGAGCTGTTTGAATAAAAAAGGAAAGCCTTTTTCTGTCCTTACAGGAACTTCTGATTTATAGGCAGTCAGTCAGAAGCACAGGTGACACCCTGGAGTTGGGATTGGCACCTGAAGTGGAGGAAGATCTTGTGGGACCCGGCTCTTAACCTGTGAAATCTGATGCTATCTCTGGGCAGACAGTGTAAGAACTGAGTTAAATTCTTGGATATCTTGCTGGGTGTCTGAGAATTGCTTGTTGGTGTGGGAACACACACACACACACACACACACACACACACACGTTGAAATTGAGTTCAGGAAGCCAAAAGAGCCCCTTTTCAGGACCCAGAAGCATCAAAGCTCTAGCCACTCCTCCTGATCCTCCTGTTGGTGGACAGGCAAGCTGTTCCCTCTATCAACACATGTGCTTCCAAACCCAGAGTCTATAGCATATACCCTTAGAGCCATCCCTTTCTTTCTAAAAAGCCCATTCTCTCTGTCTGAGCCCTGGATCGCCTGGTACCTGCTGTGAGTTTCAAAGGCCTGTTTTGGAACCCACATCAAAAATCAATTCTACTCCGAGGCTTGCCATAGAGAGGTGATGGCATGGAAAGCACTCGAATGTGAAGCTGCAGGTTCTTATAACATTTAGCACTGAGAATTGGTAACAATTCACTATATATTGGGCCATAAAATTCCATTAGATTTTTTTTTAATTTATTTTTTGATATGTCTTTATTGATTTCAGAGAGAGGAAATGAGAGGGGGAGAGAGAGAGACAGAAACATCAATGATGAGAGAGTCATTGATCAGCTGCCTAACCTGCAACCCGGGCATGTGCCCTGACCAGGAATCAAACCCCGATCGCCTGGATCCCAGGTCGACATTCAACAGCTGAGCAACGCCCAGCAGGGCCATTAGATTTACTTTTATAAAAAATTCTCAGTTTGCCAAACACATTTCTCAGGTAAATCTCAAATATTCATTCACTCATTCATTCCACTCATTCATTTTCTTACCATAAACGCCAGGTGCTAGAAATACTGCAGTCAACAAAGAAGTTAAGATCCTCATCAATCTAACCTGAAGGGTTGACTGGACTATGTCTGCCCTACATCTTCTTATCTAAGACACTCCCGCGGCCTGTGTGCTGCACAGGAGAGCAGCTCTGCGCTTCAGCAGCTCGTGCAGTCTGACCCCCTCTCCAAGTTGTTAGGAGATACATGCTATTAGGGAGAGAGGCAGCTTCTCACCAGGTCATCCTCCTCACAGTTAAGAATTGCCTCCACACCCCTGCAATAAAAAAGAGAGAGAGAGAAAGAGGAAAGGAAACCATGTTATAGATCTAATATGTACTTTTATGGGAAGATATCTAGGATATATTTCATACTATTGAATAATAAAATCATAACACCAAACAATATACATACTGGATTCCATAGGCGTTTTCAACACCTATAACAGTGTCAATTTACTTCAGACTGTTAACCATAGCTTTCTCAAGGATGGGATTATGGGAGAGGTTTTTATTTTCTATTTAATGTATTTTTATTGTATTTGTTAGCAGTTTTACAAATGTGTACTCTAGTCATGACTTTTTTTTTTTTAATATGTCTTTATTGATTTCAGAGAGAGGAAAGGAGAAGGAGAGAGAGAGATAGAAATATCAATGATGAGAGAATCATTGATCGGCTAGCCCGCAACCCGGGCATGTGCCCTGACCGGGAGTCAAACCCCAGTCGCTTGGATCCTAGGTCGACGCTCAACCACTGAGCCATGCCCAGCCAGGTGATGACTTTTAAAAGACATAATTACACTAGAGGAAAAACCTGTTCAAAAATAAAATGGGGTACACTGTGAAGTAGTGAGCTTCCTGTGATAAGGAGCATTCAAGCAGGAGCTGGAGGAGCATGAAGCAGAGGCTGTGATGGGGGACTGGACCAGTTAGCTCTGAGATCCAGAGGTTCACCCTAGGACTCATCTATTAAAGGACTCGCTTAGTGTCTGGTGTGCCAGTGGGCTCAGCTGCTGGCACGTGGTTTGGCTTCTTGCTGCTCTGAGTGGGGCCCTGCATCTCTGAGCCACCCTTGCACAGTTTACTCAAGCCCTGAGGTTACCCTACCAAGCTGCGGGCATTGCTAAGGAGAGAGTGGGCCATGCTCAGGCCACATTCTCCATGCAGGGGCTGGCGGGCAGGGAAGGACATGCGGAGGGGGTGACGGTGTGGCCCCCCCCCGTGCTGATAAGGGCTCCTATTTCTCCTCCTGCCCTGCAGGACAGCCATGGAGCTTCTCTGGAGGTCTTTGCTGCTGGTGAGCACTTGTGTCTCTGCAGTCCAGGGGTTTCCAGAGGACAGCACCATGGAGGACATTGACATCAACATGTCCCAGCCCTTGCACATCGTGGAGGAAGGCAACCTGATGGTGCTGACACCCGCCGGCCTCGCCCACATGCTCGGCCAGACCCGCTTCCTCATGGTGCTTTTCCGTGAGTGCTCCCCACTCCTGGAGGGTGGGTGATGGATGGGGTGAGACCTGCCTCCTTGCTCCTGGAGGACAGAGGAGTTTTATATGTTTATATGAGAACACATATTATTAATATTTTAAAAAATAATGTGTATGTCACATCATTCCCAATTTCCAAATGAGAATACAAGTGCAGGGAGATTAAACAATTTGCATTTGAATTAACTTTCCTTCAGCCCATAATATTCTCCATTAATGAGGCAAAGAGAAAAGGGGAGGTCTTCCTGAGAAGGAGACAATTCAGCAAAGACCTGAGGGCAGGAAGGCAGCAACCCACGCAGATATCTGGAAGGAGGGCATTTCGGGCAGCAAAAACAAGTGCAAAGGCCCTGGGGCAGAAATGTGCCACAGTGGCTGAAGCTGAGCTGCTGAAGAGAAGGGTAGGAGGAAGTAAGGTTATAAGGATGAACAGCAGAACCTTCAGGGCCTTGAAAGCCATCGCAGTGGTCAGAGGAATTTGTTGGCTGGCGCCTGAGGAGCTAGAAAGGGTTGATGACCGCCCTGAAGTCCTCACCACCTGTGAGCACCTTTGTCCACTGTAAATGGCCTTATGGAATGGGGAAGAGGGTTATTTTTAAAATACTTTTCCATGCTTGGTCTGGAGCTTGGTCTAAAATAAGGTTTCCCATCCTTAGCAATATTGACATTTTTGCTGGATAATTCTTCGCTGTGTGTGTTGGGGTGGGGGTAGTGCCCTGTACATTGTGGCCAGTAGCATTCCAGCTGTGATGAGCAGAAATGTCTCCAGACGTGGCCACATGTTCCCCGTTGAGAACCAGTCTAAAGAGAGGCAAGCTCCAGCTTCCTGTGTGGAGAGCTGATCTCCAATCCCCGCACTCACACCTCCCGCACCCATCAGCCCCTCCCTTAGCTCACATTGGCTGCTCAGAAAAGGGAACCCAAGGTTATCTACTAAAGACCCAGGCAAATACGGATTCTAGGTCCATTACCCACGAACACGTCTACACACTATGCAGGCAGGCAGAGAACCAGAGCCTATTCCCATTCACTTAGCACGTGGTAGGCTGAAGCCTTGGGCTGGGTGACCTGCCTGGTCACCCTTGCCTTCCTTTACTCAGGAACCAGAGCATCTGCTGAGTATCTAGACACCTCCACAGGACCCTCCCTTCCCAGAGAGACCCCTGTCAGAGCAAGGCCAAAGGTTGCCCACCTCTGTCACCTTCATGGCTCATGTTTACTGAGCACTTCTGTGCCAGAGCTTTGCTTCCTATGTAGGATCAGCCTAAGGTGTAGGACCTATTAATTCCCCATTATATAGATAAAGAAACCGAGGCACAGCGATGTTTTAGAAAACATCTGACCCTGGCCTCAAGTACTGTAAATCGCCATAACTGTTTTATGAGCTAACATAAGGAATTCTCATTCAGTGAGTCCCCCATTTGTGCCAGACAATGACCTCAGTAGAACTCAAGGCCTGAGCAAGGCTGTGCCTGTAGGAGCGCTTGGCCTCCCAGCAAAGGGCTCCCTGAGCATCTGGGCACTGCTCTGCCCAAGCAGCAATGTCCATGGTCTCCACGCCCTGACCAGGCTGGCATTTCCAGTTGACCAGTCCAGGACATAGCTCTGAGACCTGAGGGGTGTATCTCGCCCTGACGTCGTCGTCGTCGTCGTCATCATCATCATCATCATCATCGTCATCATCATCCTTCTGGTTGCTCAGGTCAAAAACCCCGGAGTCCCCTTGATTCCTCTCTCACTCACATTCCACACCTAACCCATCAGTAAATCCAGTCGGCGGCTCCACAGTGCCTTTAGGCTCTGACCACTTCTCATCCCTCCATTGCTACTACCCCAGCTCAAGCCAAAACCGTCTCTCCCCTGGGTTATTACATTGCTTCCCGCTGGCCTCCCTGGACCCACTCTTTCCCCTTTGATTTAATCTCCACATAACATCCAGAAAAATCCAGTAAAAAAGTAAGTCAGGTCATATCTCACCCTGCCCCAAACCCTCCAGTATCTTCCACAACCCTCAGAGGAAAGGCCAAAGTCTGTTCAGTGGCCTGCAAGGCCCTACCTCAGGACCTTTGCACTTACTGTTCCTCTGCCTGGCACACTTCCCTTCAGATATCCATATAGCTTGCTCTTTCACCTCCTTCAGGCTTTATTAAAATGTCCCTTCTCAATGTGGCCTCCGTTAGCCTCCCTCCTTAAACTCAAACCCTTGACACCCTGCATCTCCAGCTCTGCCTCTTCTTTCTCCATGGCATTTAACAGCTAACAGAGAATATATCTTACTTCTTTATTTTATTTTCTGCCTTCTCCAACGAGAGCAGGGATTTTTATCAGTTCATTGTTCAATCCCCAGGACCTAGGGCGGTGCCTGGCACAGGGCAGATCCTAAAATAGATTTGCTGGCTGGCTGGCTGGATAGAAGGATAGATGGGTAAATGCCCATTACTATTATTGGCAGGTCCTTTCCTTTAGCTCTCAGACCCCAGCACTCCAGCTGTCACAACCTCTTTCTCTCACTTTCATTTTGGGTGCTTGGGAGCACTGAGCTGTGTGTGGAACCTCGGAAAGCTCCACTGTTTGGACATTTAGTTATTCCATGTGCTTCTCTTGGCCTGAGCTTCTTGCCTTAGAAACTCAGGTTTGCAGGCTCCCAATCAACAGTCCTGAGCCGGGCACCACGGAATCTACGAGGGAGCAGGGGAGAGGCCCACAGGCTGGAGCAGCTGGCAGCGGGCCAGTGCCAGCTGGTAGTGATGGACCGGGGTATTGAAGGCAACCGTGGTCACAAAGCAGACAGTGGACAAGCATCAATCCAGGAGGGAGCGAAAAGTCCCACTTCCCATTCATTGATTGGGAGTTTAATAAAAACGATTGTTCACTTTCAGGTTCCGTTGCAGGAGCAGGTGTGCTGCCTGGCAGTGGGCACGTGCCAGCTGCCCGGGCCCAGCTTTCTGGGTTTTGCTTTACAAAAGACCTCTCTGTTGACCGTGAAACTTGTCTGTGGCAGTGGAGGTGATTTCCTGTTTCTCTAAGTGCTCCAGATGGACAAGAGTGTTTGAAAAAGATAAAGTGTTCTGGCTAAAAAAGGAGCCAGTGACCCCCTGCCCTGGCTCGGCCCACCTTCCGCAGACCTCAGGTGGTGAGGGACCTGTGGGCTCACAGTGTTCTCAGGAAGAAGAAAGGCACCTGTGACTGCCTTTCAGTCCCCATGCCTTAGGGCAGGGAGGCCTGCCTACCCCCAGGATCCCACCCGCTGGCTCCCTGGGGCTGTTTGTGGAGAGGGCTCCTGTCCCTCCCCCACCCCCTGCCCAGCAGTGTGGGGGCCTCGCAATGTGAGGGCCCGGAATTTTTTAATTTAAATTTTTATTAAAGTGTAGTTGGCATACAATGTTATGTTAGTTTCAGGTGTACAACACAGAGATTCTGTATTTATGTCTCTTACCATGTGATCACCAGTCTAGTAACCATCTGTCACTGTACAAATCTTAATCCAGAGTGTGAGGTCTTTTTGACATCCCCTCCAAGGGGGTGGGCTCAGAGGGGGCCGGGGAGCTTCATAACCCCTCCCTATATCCCC